GTTTTGTAAATAGTAATTCATCGAGCTGTATTAAAAATGCAAAGCAAAGCAAGAAAATGCATTGAGCAGAAGGTTATCTCTTTGAACACTTAGTATAGTAATTCAATTATGTTTATTTTTAATATAGGTATAAAGATAGTAAAGCACAAATTGTTTATGTAAACTGATTTGTTGTCTAATTTTTTGTTTAATCTTATGTTTCATTTCATAAAAGTTTCTGTTAATAAAGTAATTTCCGCTGTTAGATATGAATGAGTTGCTATAAAAACATAACGAAAATGTAAGTATATATTTTAGTAGTAGTAGTTCAGTGTCGTATTATGGTTAAATAAATGAAAAATATGTGATGAAATCTTCTATAGGAAATGTTGGCAAAAATTAATAGTGTTTTAAGAGTGATAAAGGGATTTCATTAAATTGAAAAACAAAAACAGGTCCGTAACGCCGAAACGCCAGATTTAATATTTAATCATACTGAGTTTTAGAGCAGAAAAAGTGGCCATTAAAATGTATTTTTTATTTTAAGTTATCTTAACAAATAATACCAGGAGACAATAGCATCCAAAATTGAAAATTCCTTTTTTTTCGAATATTTTCGGAAGTATTTGAAATTTTTTAAAATACAAAATTGCGCAACTTTGCCTCCATCTATCCGACCCTGTATCTCTTACGGTTTTCGAAATCCCAATGATGAGCGTCAAATTTGAGTCATCCTGTACTCCGACTCCTTCCCTGTTTTCTCCGCTTTTGTCCGCAACAGACAGAAAAACAAACAAGGGCAAAATTGTGTCTGGTTTAATGTCATCCACGATGACCTAAGTAAATTTTCTGTAGCTAAGGACTGCAGTGCAATAAATCAATAGAATGTAAAGATTAGTTTAGATGCTATAAAACGGCGGAACTCGGCGGGAGTTTTTATTTTAAATTGAAAATAGTGACGTCATAATTTTTAAATGTTTTAATGGTCAAAATTGAAATGTGATTTCCTTTTACGGTCTATGCGTTTTAGATGCAGGTTTTATATGGCAAAATATAACATTCTTTTTCGTGAATAATTTTGGTGCAAATTAAAGCGTTAGTATATGCAGGTTTTTAATAAAGATTTCACTTCTTACACCTGTTTTACACAAAAGACTTTTAAATTCGCCCCGAGTCGTCGTTTTCGAGAAATTCGCAATTGAAATTTTCATTTCATCTAATTGAATTGTAGGCTTTGACTACATAATGACAATAAAAGACAATAAAATGGTTGTTGTGTAATGTCTACAGATCAATTTACACGCATAGGTCTATAACTTTAGAAATAAGCATCCGTGGGATCTAGAAAATCCCGATTTCATAACTGAACGCCATTTTCAGCAGGAATTTAAAATAAACATTTTCAAATTTGTTATATGTCCGACCTTTAACATCAGATCGTTGCACTGTGCCCCTCACGGTAGATGATTTCACCTCTAGACTAAATGACATCGCGTAAGTTATTCATTAAATTGTCTTTGTGGTGATGTTGGGTGAAGTGAGGTGAGGGGTTCGAATAGTTACTGTGTTAACGACGTAAGGGAGATTATTATGTAACAATAACAAAATTGTCATAATTATATTATAAATAGTTAATCGGAGTAACTTAACACATTAAATATTAAATAAGTGGTGGTGATGTGAATTACATTTCCATTTTTTTTTATTAATATTTAATTTTTATGACAAACAGTAAACCTCCGAGTGCAGTTTACGCAATGTTGAGAAAACAACTGGTAATTAGAATTATGGATGCCTTAGAAACTATTCATGCTGATCCTGAGAGTGTTAGAAGAGAAGAGCTAGGCTATGTATACAGCAACTGGGTGGACATTTTGAACAACCAATTCGATAAAATAAAATATAAATAAACAAAAAATAATTAAATAAAAAAAAAACGGATTTCTTTTAAATGGTCTTTAAAATTTCAAATGCTGTAGCTCAGTTAGAATAGCATTCCATTTATTTGACATTTTTAACTTCAATAATAGATAATACTAAGCACAAATACACAAAACACCAGCATATGAAATTCGATTTGATTTATTTATATACTCGTGAAATGATACTTCGGGATTCAAACCGCCAAGTTACAACATATCAAAAAACAACTTTATACTTTCACTAAGTTGCTTCTCTTTCAAGCAAAGAGTCTGGTCTCCGCCGTTAAAAAGGCTAAATAGATATAATTCGGTGAAAAAATGGAGAACAAAAGCAAAGCTAATCAAAAACTGTTTTATAGCACGATCAAAACACTCCGAAAAGATAAAAAGAATTACATGTCACAAATTAAAGAGAAAAATAGAGAGGTATTAACAAACGAAATGATGCAGAAATGGAGAGAAACGTTTTTCTGAAACGATTAGGAGAAAAAAAGATAATGATGGGCAGGAGTTACAAAAAGAATCCACGCAAGCATGCCATGGAGATAAACAAAATAATGAGTATATGAAGAAGTAATAAAAGAACTGAGAAGTGGGAAAGTACCGGGATGCGATCATATAACAAGCAATATGATCAAACCCATTGGTGAAAGTTGAATGGAAATCCTTGTCAAATTATACAGTAAAGTGTAGACCGAAGATACATGACACAAGATGGAAGATATCTTTAGTAATCAGAATCTTTAAAAACGGGATAACGTTTCTAATATTTACAGAGGCATAACTCTTCCATGCACAACAATGAAAATTCATGAACAATTTCTGGACAGAAAGGATAAGAGCGGTGTGACAGTAAAACCAATAGCTAAAAAGCCAATAGATCAAAATAATCAAATATATTTGGGGTTCATTGACTTGTTTTGATGAAGTATCAATAGACAAACTATATACGAAAAAAATATTAACTATGGAATATACCAAAATAATGTTTCAAAACCATTCGCAACCAAAGCAGGATTACGATAAGGAGGAGGACTAAGCACTTTGCTCTGCACAGCCTATATGAAATAACAGAGCGCTGTAGAGCAACCGTAAGGAGATATGTGGACTTTAGATACATGAGAAATATGAAAGTATCTGAAGTAGCGTTTATAGACAATTTAGTGTTAATATCCGGAAAAGAGACAGATTTTCAAATGACGATCTGGAATAATAATAATAATAATAATAATAATAATAATAATAATAACAATAATAGTAAATGTTTTTATTTTTAATAATCAACAAGTCAATGTGATTTAAACATGGATGAAAGATAATTATCACAGGAATTTAGTTGTGATAACATTAATGACTCACGCAACAATACTTGTGTTGTTCTATTTAAATAATCCTTGTTTTGGTAAATTATCTTTAAATTGAAGTAAGATTGTTGAAGGCTTTTGGATATATGATTTGATGGATAACCGCAATTCATGGACCATCACGATACCTAAATTTTTTACAGAATTATTATACTGCATTACTTTGTCATTTACAGAAATTAATTCTTTAAATGTACGTAGAAAGGAACTTTTGTCTTTCTTACATCCAAACAATGTAAAAATGGAGTTGTCAGCGTTTAGTTGCAGGCAGTGCTTCTCCGAAATATTCTGAATATTTTACAAATCTTGATTAACAGCGCCTGTGCGGATTTCTCTGGATAAAATGATAAATAAATTTGTTTGTCATCGGCAAACAACTATTTCGACGCGAAAGACATGACTAAAAAAAAAAGAAATATATATATAGAGAAAAGGATGGGGGTTAATATAGATCCCTGTGGAACACCTTTGTTCAGATATAAAAAAGAAGATAATTTGGAGGTGTGAACCCTATTAGTGCGTAGATTTACTGTGTTTACAGAAAGACCTATGTAATTATGCAATTATGTCCAGGTTTAAAACCTGATTGATTAATAGAGTTGTTATACAAATACTTTTGAAGCTATGAATGAATTACTTTTTCAAAGATTTTAGAGAATGTTGGGAGAATACTGATAGATCTGATATAAATAAAATTCGTTGTATTTTTTTTTTTAGGCAGAGGAACAACTAAGGCTTTTTTCCATTGATCAGAACATATAGACTTTTGTAAACAAAAATTTATTGTATGTTTGATGTGCGGTAATATATGGGGAACACAAAGTTTAATTGACGAGATATTGATACCATCCACCCCTATAGCTTTAGTTTTAATATTAATTAATATTAATATTTATTATGTTTAATATTTCGATTTCCTCAACATTTGTAAAAGAGAAATAAAGGCTTCAAGTTTCGTCGATAATACTCAATTAATTCAGTGTCCGGCAAGAGGTTTGTTTTCAACACAATATAACTCTTGTGGCAACAAATCACCACTTCTACTTTTAACCAAATTCCACGATTTCAATGTTCTCCACAGTTCTTGCTAATTTTCTTGATTTAGTAAGCTTTTTTTACGCATTCTTGTCCTGTTCACCATGTTACGCAAATCTTTATAACAATTCCAATAGGCAGGGTTTTTATTCTTTTATATTTAGCTAAATATTTATCACGTAGTTTTATCATTTCCTTGAGGGTGTTCGTTAACCATGGCGCATAATTTTTGGTCACTCGGATTGTCTTAAGTGGTGCATGTATATTGAGAAGCGTTAAAATATTATTACTCAAAATAATCATGCTTTGGTGGATTTCCAAATAAAACTTAATAAAGCCAAGAAAAAGAAATGGCGGTAGGGAATAAACACTAGGAAATATATATAAAACTGAAAAGAACACAAAAAAGAAAAAACGTGGAAGACCAAGGCAATAACGGGCTGTCAGTATTGCTGAGATTTTGAGGCAAAACTTGGAGTTTGGCAAAGATTATTGCAAGGAACAGAAAAATCTAACACCGTTATGTAATGGTAACAAGGGTTTTTTGAAAAAAAAAAATAGATGTAGTAATAAAGATTATAAATATTTCTGCGCAATTCGACGATCTGACAACTTTCTAGAATTACAAACCCGATTAAAGCTTATGTAGTTATCACAACTGTGCAGGGCGCGCTCAACTCGCGGTTTTGATTGATTGCAGGTGTCAGGGAGGCGTGCGTGTGTCCGTCTCTTCCCGTGAAGGACACCACATCGCTGTCCGCATTTTCACGGTGAGTGTTGCTTTACTTTGTTGTTATTAAGTCGTATTTCTTTCTTGTCGAGTATAAAAGGTGCACCCGGCATGTAGGTTCTGATACAGGGCGTTAATATTTGACCTCAAAAACCTCAATAAATTTTGGGTCACCTATCTACATGAAAAAAATGATGTAGGCAAAGTAAGGGATCCTTCCACCAGAGTGGCGAAACTACCTATTCTGATTTCATTCTATTCGACATTGTTGACAACTTCCAGCTTTGAAACTTTTTGGTAATTTCATCGGCACATATAAAATTATGAAAAAAAAAATGCTGCTTGCTTTTCGAAAACCAAAAGTCTAGGTACAAAAAAGTGTTTAAAATCGTGACATCCCATTTTTATAGTGGGCCTGCAAAAATAAAGGATTTAAGGCAGAGATTCATAATGTTAACATCACTTAGCGCACTTAGCGAATCAACTTTCTCGAGGACATGAAGTAATTGGAGTCTACCTGCAACTCTTATTTCACAAGTTTTCGAATTTATTATAATAAGCCATTCTATAAAATTTTTAGGTATGAAATGCCTAGATAAACTATATAAAAAACGTTTAAAGAGAAACATTTCGTACGTTGCCTGAAATCGTTTGTGGTTCTACATTATACCTAGGTTTTATAGAGAATGCTCTAATTTTATACTTAATCATGTATATTTTGGAATCATCAAATATAATTCCAAAACTGATATTTTGAACAAGTAGGCAGAAACTAAATGTGTACTAGTAACTAGTTATAAAGTTGTTAGTTTTGTATTCTGTATATTAAAATCCAGTTTCAGAAAAATTTTGTCTAAAGTATTAAGTGGTTTTATAGAAATACAAAATTTTCCGTAGCAAAAAAGTTATAGCGAATTTTTTAAAATGCACATTTTCGAAAACCATTACGGTTACTATTAAAATTGAGGCCCAGACAAGTACATCCAATTTTTTACTTTCCATTTAAAAGTGTCTAATTTGGCCCACCCAGTACACAAATGTTCCTTCTGATCATGTGAAATAAATTAAAAAAAAAAAACAAAATTAAATTACTAAACCAAGGTTCAATTCAATGCACTGCAGTTACAAACCTGTCTCTATTGGAATTATCAATGAGTGGCTTCTAAAACTATATGTCTAGGTGGTCTTAGGTGGCAGTAAATTTAGAAATATCCGAACCGCCTTTAAACAAATAACAAAAATAAGATGTGCCACCATAACTCCATTGGACTGATAAATATAAAAAAAGTTCATCTATCGTTAGTTCAGCCATTTCAGAGGTATCTAAGGTTTGGATAAATTTGTGTCCTTCTAAAACTACATGTCTAGGTAATTTTTATACAATTTCCACTTTTCTGTGTTTTGTGCCATAATTCCAAAACATACTCTTAGGTGGCAGTCAATTTAAAAATATCCGAAACGTCTTTAAACAAATAACAAAAATAAGATGTGCCACCATAATTTCATTGGACTGATAAATATAAAAAAAAAGTTCATCTATCGTTAAGTTCAGCCATTTCAGAGGAATTTAAGGTTTGGATAAATTTTTATTTAAAATTGACAACTAGCTATAGCTTTTTTAATAATCATAATGCATTTATTCTGGCTACTTGCATAAGCTATTATAATATACATTAACAAACTATAAACTACGGAAATATATTATCAGCCTGATTATTAAAATAACGAACATCACCGTCATATATAGTTTTTTGTAAAGTTGTAGTTTTGGTTAGTTTGGATCATATGTGTGAAAATTTGACTTTCTTCCCAAATATAATTTCAGAGAGCCTAGTCGGAGATTACGCAATTCCATAATCCAAAAGTAAATAAGACTTTTTAATGAACTGCCTGATATTTAGCCAATTAAGCTTTTCTAACATACTCGTTATAGGAGTATATCTATCGCAGTTCAATAAAATCCGTACAGTCATATTTTGTTGTATCTGTAACATCTTTAAATCTTCATTAGTACGAAATATAAGCAACGAAAAAAGTGTATGATACAGTCTCCTTTTTCATTAACAAAACGATTTTTAATTAAGCAATAGGAATATAAATAATTGGGTAAAGTAGCATTACTCCGAAGTATTGTAAAATATGAAATTCTGTTTAAAAAAAAACTAGAAAATTTCCGCCGTTAAGGGTTTTGCTTTCATCATCCACGACTCTTGCGGTCTCATGCTGCTATACACGCAACACACAAACCCTTTCGCGGGATAGCAAAGTTCACGGCGGAATCGGGGACAATCGATATCGAATATAAAAGCCGTAGAGACCTGATTGAAGTATTGAAAAATTCTCTCCGCGATATACGTACGTGCCGTTCGAGGATTGTAAATAGATATATACGAGGGCTGTCTGATTAGTTATTGCGTCCCTCATCTACTAATAGATCGCTGTCACCATTTCAGCGAGTTGCTTGGTTGAAAAGTCATTGAAATATAAAGTAAATTCTAGCGAAAGTAGAAAGAAGTGAACTTCGTGTTCAGATTTAACATTGTTTCTAGCATCAATAATTATTATTTAAACCAAGAACACGGTCGCTAAATATTACGCGGACTCGGCACCAATAATTGTAATGACGAATAAAAAATACATTTTTTAAAATGGACACCTTCTTTTGTTCCATTCTCTTCTGTTCCATTGCTGTGGGTGATCATTATTTAAAAATGCTCGAATAATGCGGAGGAGCTGCATGTTGCTGAAACCTCATTTGTTTTACCTCAATGTTCCCAACTTCCTGAAGAAGTTGAGTTAAAGCATTCAGCAAAAAGTTTAAATATCTTGGTCCGTTACGTTATTCGAAAAAAAAATATGGTCCAATAACTTTAAAGTGTTTTATTCCACACCACACATTAAGCGAGCAATGGTTTTTGTTTTGCACTTCCCGTAACCAGAATGTTAAATAATAATGCGTGTTATGCATTATGCACCATTACTGCGACAAGTGGCATCATCGGAAAACATTATTTTACCGTTTGTTCAAAATTACGGTCTAGAAGTTCTTAGTGTAGTTCCAAATTTATGTTTTCTAGTGGTGCGATTAACGGTAGATTGGGATGTATCACATAAGTTAGGCTACTTGACGGCTACTGAACTGGGGATTACGTTGAACTTGAAGTAAAATTCTTTTTCCTCATTGGTAGCATTGCAAACCTTTCCACTAAACACTGAAGTCTAGTTGGTATACGTCTACGACTTCGATTTGGTAAAGTCTTATTCCTAACAAAGCATGTTGTTCCACCTCACCCAGTTGTAGCGGTTCCGTTTGTTTATAAGGAATTACTTTCCCGGCTCGTTCAGCTTAACCACGAGAAACCTCGTATCATTGTTTATGAATCTTTAACATATTCCCACAAAAAGATATCCACTGGTGTTAAGTCACATGATGGAGGGGGGCATCCAATGAATCCGCATCTACTGTTCCATTGCTGCGGGTGATCATTATATAAAAATTCTCGAACTTCTCGATGGTAATACGGAGAATCAATCTCGCTGAAACCACATTGGTTGGATCTCAAAGTTATCAACTCCTTGAAGAAGTTGAGATAAATCATTATGCGAAAAGGTTACGTATCTACGCCCGTTAAGTGAACAATGGTTTTGGTTTTGCGCTTCCCGTACCCAGAATGGATTTACTGTTGAATAAATATGCACCATTACTGCGAAAAGTAGTAGCTTCATTAGATTTACAAAAAATTTGGCTCGATCTCTATTGCTTATAGTTATAGAAGGACAAATATTGGCAAAGTTAAAATATATCGCAAAGTATTAACATACTTAATAAAAGTTGTAGGTTTTTCTAAGCTCTTTCAGAAACAGTGATAAGTGTGTCATTTAGGAAAATCGGGATTTTTCAATTTTAAATGATTCAAATATATTCGTTCGTTTTAAACAGCCAACTGAAATTCATTTGCATATATCTTTTACGTCATCTTCGAATACCGCTTTGTTTTAAAATGATGGCAGTATCCTAATGTTTTTGTCTAAAAAGTAGTCTTTTTTTAGAAATACTAAAATGTTGGAAAAACTGTTAGATTTAGGTAAGTATTATTATTATTAATAAAAAAGTTTTTCAAAGAAACTTTCACAGGCTACCGTAATACTTTTTCCGAAACTTCTGGATTCCTCCTTCGTTGGCTTTTGCTGAGTCGAACTTGCTAAATTATACCGAAAAGAGGAAATCATTTCAAATGTCGAGTCTATCCTAAACAAACTGCCTTTTGAAACAGCTAATGAAATTCGATTTGAAACCGCCAAAATTCTTAAAAAATCAAAACCTCTTTAATCTAATATTGCAAAGCTTCAACGCATTGCTTTAAAATCTCTAAAATCTAATTGTGACGTTATAATCCTAAAAGCAGATAAAGGAAATGCTACGGTGGTCATGAATACAATATTAGCAAAATATTCAAGATATTCTTACAGACGGATCATATCGTCAACGTTAAAAATATCCTACGTTATCTATGGAACGCAACCTTAAACTATTATTAAGGCTTCTTCTCTATCAAACTCCGTGATAAAAATCTTTCACCCCTCATAACTCTAAAATTCCTCGTCTCTACGGACTTCCAAAGATTCACAAACCAGGATTACCCCTTCGACCTATTGTCAGCACCATTGGTTCTCCAACATATTCTCTAGCAAAATATCTAGCATCCTTATTAATACCCTTTACAGGGAAAACTGATAGGCTCGTACTTAATTAATTTCACTTCATTGAACAATTAAAAAGCATTACATTAGATACACAAGATATTCTAGTTAGTTTTGATGTAAAATCAATCACTCTTTAACAAATTTCCTATTCCTGAAACTCTCAACATCATTTCAAATATATTAAAATCTCAGAATCTGGAACCAAACCTTCTCACCTTAATTGAAAAATGCTTGTCTGGAACATATTTTTCTTATAACGGTCAAATTTTTGAACAAACGTTGCAGAAAGCTATGGGTTCTCCACTATCATGAGTCATCAGCCTTTGAGAAGGAAGC